TGCATAGAATGTTAGAATCTAGCATATTCTATAAGTAGCAAGAATTTGATTTTCTTTCACTTATGAAAAAGGATTTGGAGTTGTGAAATGAGAATGATTGGAAATGTGTTCAATTTGATCTATTTCACAAAGTAAGAACCATAGGTAAACATTGTGTGCATGCTAGGAACATGGGACAAGTGTAATAATTCAAGTAAGAAGTTGATTACCCGAAATGAGAAATAATGAGTAATCGATATGGTGATAAATAAAAGGAGTTTTATTTATACTCAAAGGTTTGAGGCCATATGGGATTACTATTATTCTTGTGTTTCACTTTGCATGTTTTGACTTCCTGAATAATTTAATTGGTTAAGAACAGTCAAATTATTCGAACGGGCCACAGTCGTTCATATGTTGGAAGTAGGTATGAATGAGGACTGTCGTGAATTGGTTTGTGGATTGTCTAAAAGAGTATTAGACATAAGCAAATGTTTGCTGCAACATTCATGAGTGCTTATGAATATGAATTTGAGCATTGGATTAAACCCACGCTCACTTGGATCACTCCATGAATTGTATCACGAGTGATTGGTGAGACGATAACATCTTATATTCTTGAAACCGAGACGTGTGAGTTGTATCTTGCTAACCGGTTGCACATTGATAATATGAAAACGCACTAGTAACTTGCTGTTATAAAACATATTGTTGTGTGTGATTCGGTGAGTGAGTGCAAGCAACCATTGTATCAAATTTTATCCATTCCTTTGATCCAAAGAAGGATAAAAGTGATATCTTTGGGCCCCTCGATGATTTAGTGATGACAAACGTAAATGCTCGGACGGGCTAGGGCTAATTTGATTTGTTCAATTAGTCAGTCGTCATAAATCGGAGATCGAGATATAGTACAAAGAGAATGTTTAGAAATCATGTCTTATGATATATAAAATGGAGGAATATATGATCCCTTATCTAAAGGACACGAGTATCTGATAGGATCGGAGTTGACAGCAGCTTTGGAAAGCTACGATTGTAGATCAGGATCTGAAGTCATACACAAAATGGTTATTAGACTTATCCAAGTGGGAGACTATTGGATTAGTGTCTAAGTCCATAACTATTTTGGTATGTACTTGACCCGATGGTGCATGGTCCTTTTGGATTGCCTTCACCAAAGCAACTTGATAGGATATATTATGGAGAGAAAGGATTAAATATGATTTATTAATATATTATGAGAATAATATATTAAAGGAGAAATCATATTGTTTAATTAATATTAGTCAAGAATTAATTAGTAATTAGTTTTGTGACTAAAAGAGATTAATTAAACTTAAGGGACTGGAATTGTAATTATAAGATAATTGCAATTTGGGCTATGGATTGTCTTAAATTAAGGAGTGGACGAATTATATGGGGAAGCCCATAAGTAAATCGTCCAAGGCCTTAATTAAAGGAGTCTATGGGTTGCTTACGGCTTACGCATCCAAAGTAGGGTTTCCTTGTTAGATAACCCTAATGACCTCACTATATAAAGACCCCTTATGACCCAAAAACGTAGGGAAGACTTCTTCTAGGGTTAGAACACGTTTTGGGCAGCCTCCATCCTCTCTCCTCTTCATCCTCTTGCTTATGGTGTTTGTGAACCATTAGAGGAGTGACATTTGTGACTCTAAGCTTTCTAAAGTCAATACAAGGAGGAATTGAGATTGTTATTGCTACATAACAATCAAGGTATGATCTTAAACCTAATTGCATGTTAATATGATTACTTGAATGCTAGAATTAGGTTTTATAGTCTTGGATAACTTGCAGGTACAATAGAGAAACCTAGATCCAAGCATTAGGGTTTGTATGAGCACATAGGAAGTTCTCATGACCAAAACCCATCAACTTCATCGTCTAAATGAAGTTCACGATCGGACCAGGGATCACGTTGATGTCCTTTAAGAGGAGGTTACCACTACCCGATCCAAAATTAGAGAGTTCTGAGAACAACAGGCTGAGATGGAGAGGCATGTGATCGAGGCAGAGCACCAAGCGGTAGAAGCTAGGGAGGAGGCTAGAGCGATGAAGGCACACATGGTTGCTCTACTAGGACCCGAGGATACCACATGCCACGAGTAGTGCTTATACTACTCTAAATTTTGTTATAGATTAGGTTTTATGAGTAAGCGTTGGTGCTACTACTTCTTGTATGTAGGTTCAACCCTACGAAAAAGTAATGAATTACACTATTCAAGGGGTGGTTATGTTGTCGAATATTTTCTTTAACTTGATGTATTGTAGACCTTCTTCGAGGTCAATTTTTCCAAAACCATGTACTAATGTATATGTTATCAATGAAATTTGCATGCATTTTATTTCATTGGGTATTGCTATTAAATTCATAAATTGTTATGCAATTGTTTATTTATTATAGTAGATTTATATTGATGAATTGGTTGCAAATTACAATAAAGAGGGGATAATACATATATAACTGAGACATTCCATTTTGATAATACCTAACTTATAACCACTATTGAAGACTTATAATCATTCCATCTTTGAGCTTTATGGCAAAAGTATGCAACCATGCAGAATTATTAGGCATGTCAACAACACATCAGCAGCTCCACCGCCACCGCCACCACCTCCACAGATGGACTCTGCTGTCTTCCAAGCCGATGTGACAGCTGTCATGGCACAAATCAATACAAATGGTACACATAGGAACAGAAATGGTACCAATAGTTCTAATCAGGGAGAAAGCCATGGGTGCCAAAGAGGATGCTCCTACAAGGACTTCTCAAAATTGCAAACCCATGCCTTTCTATGGCAGTAGAGGATTCATTGCCTTGACTAGGTGGTTCGAGAAGACAGAATCGATATTTGAGATCTATGCGTGCCCCGAAGAAAGCAAGGTCATGTCCGCTGCCTGCATATTCACTAACGGGGCCCTCTCCTGGTGGAATGGCCACGTCAAATCACTAACTCTCCCAGTGGCCGACTCTATGAGCTGGGAGGACATAAAAATCATGATGCTAAAGGAATACTATTGGTTTTTGAGCATTCTAACACTCCTATGGTGTACATGCAACCCTATAAACCTTGGATCTATGTTTTCTCTATTATACATGCAAATATTAAATATGTTGGATTAATGCCTAAGTCCATAACTATAATTGATAAGACTTGACTCGACCCAGCATGGTCCATTTAGGTTGCATGGCATCAGAACATTTGGGTAGACCTTTTAATGAGAAGAAGATATTTGAGACATATTAATATATTATAAGTTCTATTATATTAATATGAAATCATATTATTTAATTAGTATTGATCAAGAATTAATTTGGAATTAATTTAGTGATAAAAAAGAGACAAATTAAATATATGGGGATTGATTGTATAAATCATTGATTCTTATATATGTGGGCTTATGATCCATAATTCCTTATGTTGGTTTTAACCTATGTGGTGGCCCATGGATACTCCATGGAGGTTAAAACCCATGGAGCATAAGGAATGGGTAAAGTCATAGGTTACATGGTGTAACCCTAATGTGCACACTATATAAAGACCCCATTGGTTGGTGAAATTGGCTCTAATGTATACACAAGAGGGCAAGCCAATTTCTATGCACTCATATCTTCTCTCATGGTTATTCTAAATGTTCATGGTGGTGTGTGAACCATTTGAGGCACCACACTTGGGGCGCTAGGCTCTTGAGCTCCATGGAATCAAGCACCAATAAAGAGGTATGTAATTCTACTAGTTTTTATATTATATGTACTTTATATTATGCTAGTTAGAACAATACCTTGGAAAATTGATATTTGCATGTATAATAGAGAAAAAAACATAGATCCATGGTATTTAGGGTTGCATGTACACCATATGAGTGTTAGAATGCTCAAAACCCAACAGTGGTATTAGAGCCATGGGTTGTTTTCTGTTATATTGACGCAAATGTTTTATTTTCAAAGTTGAAAAAAAAATGAATAAAAAACATGACATTTGTCAAATTTTAAGATAATTACTTGTTTTTGTGAAAAACTAATTGTTTGTAAAATTGACAAAACTGCAAATTTGGTCCTTGTGATTTGTCAAAACCTTTGGATGGGGTCCAAAAAGTTTCCAGCTTGCACCAAAGGTCCAAAATCAAGGTTTTCATGGGTTTTTAGTCCATTCCGTCATTGTCCGTTTGTTTGGAGCCGTTAGTGCCATGACGTGCCCTCCATGTGAGGGCATTTTGGTCATTTTAGGTCCTTATTTTAAATAATATCATATTTCTCCTTTATATACATACTCATACACAATCCCCTTCTTCTTCTTCATTTTTATTTACAAAGAAGCAGCAAAAGGGGCTTCTTTTTCTTCGTCTCTCAAAGGGATTCTTCTTCTTCGTCTCTCATCTACTTCTATTGCTACGAGATTCAAAAATGGTGCTCTGCTTCTGTGGGAACGATGCTGTTGTGTGAACCTCATGGACCTCACGAAACCCTGGTCTTCGTTTCTATGCATCCCGTAAAATGGTAAGCAAACTCATATTAGGTTATGATATTTTGGTAGTTAAGCAATAACTCTTCTACTTTAATGTTTAATGTATTCTTGTAGGGATCCAAATGTGGATTTTTAGGGTGGTTCGATCCCCCTATGTGTCAAAGATAAATTGTTATCATACCAGGACTGTTGAGAACAAAGAATAGGTATGAGGTTGAAGTGGGTTAGCTAAAGATGTGTTTGCTTGTCTCGTGGGTTTTGTTTCTATTGTTTTGTGTTATTTTGGGAATAGGAATTAGAGGTTAGGTTTTTTTTTGGTAATAACCACTTAAAAATGTTGTCTTTTGGTGCTAGAAGGTTCAATTGGGTACATTGCCATAACATCTTCATGATTTCCCAGTACAACATAAACAAATAACAAACAACATTACCAAAAGGGGACCATAACAGATAAATGCCACAACACAATCATTACCAACAAAGGACATTAAAGTACATTATCAAAACATTGGAGTACATTGTTCCATAAAAGGGCCTCAAAGTATATTATCAAAATGGAACCAAAAAAAAGGCAATAAAGTACCAACTAAAGTGCATTAACAAGTCTTCACAAACATAAAAAGTACTTAAACATCAATTCCCATCGTTGGCCTTGCAGGTCCTAGCATTGTGACCCTTTTGCTTACACTTACTACATGTCACAGTAAAAAACTTCATGCTCAGTGATTGAGTTTCATTATCATTTTGACTTTGACGGTTTGCTTGCCTCTTACGTTGTTGGATTTCAATCCTTTCCTCTATTGTAATCCTTCTTTTCTTTTTTGGCCTGCCTATAGCTTTTTTGTGTGGTGGAGGCACAAGAGTTGTTGGGCAGTCACTCTTAGGCCACATGGCTCTACCTTTGATAGGCTCCACCTTGAAGGAGTACATCTCTTTCCATCTATCAAGCCAATACACCTTATGCACATAGGTGTAGAGTTCTCCCACCTTTTCATTATTGTCTGCCATTTCATTTAGGCTTGCAATTGCATGCTTGCAAGGAATTCCAGTAAACTCCCACTTTCTGCAACTACACTCCATTTTTTCCATGTCCACCACATGTTGATCATTCCATGGACTTTTAACCTGATACTTTTGTCCCCCGTTCCATTGTGCATGATACTTACTAACTAGTGTTGTGTTTGCTTCCAAAATCCTAGTACTAGTTGGAGTTAATGGACCTTGACACTTGTTTAACACCTTCATCACATTGCATACTCTCTTCATAAGGTAATCTCTGATGAACTCCAAACAACTGATAATGGGTTTGTCTCTCCCTTGAACAAGTTTGCTATTGAACACTTCACAAAGGTTATTCAATAACATGTCTAAAATTTCCCTTCCTAATAGTTCATTAACAAAACAACAGTTAGTGTATATCTATACTATAATAAAAAAATAAGACAACAAATTGAGAAAATACCTGAAAAATGACTTCTAGCCCAATGATGTGGAGGGATTTTCAAGAGCCACTGATATGCTTCTATCTCATAATTCCTTAGCTCTACCATTACAACTTCAAACTCTGGTATGGTGGTGGCTGAAGCACACCTCAAAAAATACTCCTTGTACTCTGTAGTCTTAAATCTGATCCTCATGTTTTGGTATATGTGTCTAATACAGAACCTATGTTCTGCATTAGGGAACAATTGTTCTATGGCTAGTAGAAGACCCTGTTTTCACCAAAACAAAATAAGTAATTAGCATTAGTCTGTAATGAACCTAGTATACAATATTAAATGTAACTATAGTACCTTCTGTCCATCACTGATAAAGGTGAAGTTGGAATTTGAATACAAGTCAAGATCTTCTGCAAGACACTGAAGAAATCATTTCCAACTTGAAGTGTTTTCACTTTCAACAACAACATATGCCAATGGGTAGGTTCCATTGTTGGAATCAACACCAACTGCACTTAGTATTTGACCTGGGAAAGGTCCCTTCATGAAGGCTCCATCTAAGCCTAAAAATTCTCTCAAACCTGCCTTAAATCCTTTCTTCAAAGGACCTAAACACACATATATCCTTCTGAGTTGCCTGGTTAGGGATGAAACCGCAGGTTCAGAAACCACATCAATCTTTACAGTTGTACCTTCATTTGTCTTTTGTAGCTCTAGTACATAGTCTCTCAGCTGCATATTGCTTTACGTAATCCCCTGCAACATTTTTGGTGGCTAATGCTTTTGCCCTAAATGCTTTCTCTTCTGAAATACTGACTCCATAAGTTGATTGGAGTTGCTCTTTTAAGGCACGAACATGCAGTCCAGGATTAGCTTCAATCTGATCCATAATATGTTTGGAAAGAAATGTTGTTGTGCAAGATCTGATTTTTCGTGTTTGGAGGCAGATATGTTTCTAATTATAGGTCATAATAAACCAATAGTCCTGTTCACTTGACCTAGATGCATGAAGTTTCCATGTGCATTTAACTTTATCTGAGTTTACATATTTACCCTTTACCTTTTTCCCAGAGGTAGGTCCACCTACCCCACTTGCATTTAAAACTACAGTTCCATCACAAACAGCTGTTAATCTACTCTTGTCGTTTTTTGTGAATGAGATATTCCTCCGTGTCTCTAAAGCATGCATATCAATTTTATCTTTCAATTCTTTCTTGGCTTTATATTTCTGCCTAATATGAAAAGCTACCTTGTGCACCTCACCAGCAGAATATAAGGTTTGTTTCCCCAGCTCTTTGATCATTTCTCTTCTTTTCCTGTTGTCCCCTGAGTCATCACTTAGTGAATCCCACTTGTCATTATCAATTACCTCCAAATCCTCTTGTTCATCACTATCTTCATTTCTTTGACCACCCAAATTTGGACATCCATTGAACTCTGCTTCTGTATCAATATTTAGATTGAAATCCTCCATGTCAACCTCAACATCTTCAATTGTGTTGTCCTCATCAATCATAAAGTCGCTATCTTCATCTTCACTGTTTTGATTCTCAAGCTCAATGTCATCAGGCTCCTCTTGTCTCCACTCATCATTGAAAGGAATATTATCTTGGCCTTCAAACCCATTAAATGGGATGCTATCTTGGTCTTCAAACCCTTCGAAAGGTTGAAAGTTTGTCATTAACTCATCATCTATGTTGAAGTTAGTTGAAAATTCATTGACTCCTTGAGGATCATTATCCCTGACAACTCTGTACCCCTCATCTGCAAATCCTTCTACACCCTCACCATTGGATTTTTTCATGTCAAGTTCTTCATTCATATCAATCTGTTTGTTTAACTCTTTTTCTGCATCAACTACAACAAATTCATCTGCAAATCCTTGTACACCCTTACCTTTATCAACTTCACCACTTGCCATTGTTTTTTAACCACCTTCCCAATCCAAGTTAAGATTTCTACTACAAGATGGTGCCCCTTTACTATGTTTCCAACCTTTAGACCTACTAAATTCAGGTGTTGCTGATTTGTATAAGGTTAATGCTAACCCTAAATCACCCTCACCAACATCAATTTGGATTGGAGTTACCACTTCATGAGCAACTACAGGTGATGATGGTCTAAGAGGACCCTGATTATCCATGTCTTCTATTATAACCCTTCTTGGACCAGTTGGGGACATAACATATGTAAGCAAGTTCGTTTGACCATGCTCTGTGTACACTTTAATCATTTTGTTATTATGGGTAACATACCGTGAGAGATTACGCACATCATCATCGTTACCTAATGCTCGGAGTCCAAAGTCAAATCCTTCATTAGGAAAACGGAAATGGTAATACATGATTTCAGTACCATCATACCCTAATTCTCTCATCATCAAGTCTAGTTCATGAACAGAAAATTCATCAATGTCGACAACATCAAAGCACCTTACTTGGCCATTAATATACCTGATATTTGGAAACATTGTGAAACTCCCTCCGTGATGAAGTTCAATAGAGAATATGTTTGGGGTAACCATCTTCAAAATAGAAAGAGACGATTGTTAGAGTTTTTCAAAGTTTGAAGCTTGATCATAAAATACAGAGTTTTTTCAAAGTTTGAATCTTACCATAAAATTCTTGAACGTTGACAATCTCTCCAACATTTCTAAGTCCCCACATTTTCAAAATCATGAACACAAGCCAATTTGCAGATGATCGTTAGGGTTTTTGCGTTTGAATCCAAAGAGGTATGAGTAGAAGACGAAGGAGTGAGTACAGTCTGCAATCTTATTAATTGAAGTGGCGGCAACGGAGGCTAGGACCTAAAATGACCAAAATGCCCTCACATGGAGGGCACGTGATGGCACTAGTGGCTCCAAACAAATGGACAGTGACGGAATGGACTAAAAACCCATGAAAACCTTGATTTTGGACCTTTGGTGCAAGCTAGAAACTTTTTGGACCACATCCAAAGGTTTTAACAAACCACAAGGACAGAATTTGCAGTTTTGTTTGTAAAATTTGAATCATTTTCTATATGAGTTGAATTAGGTCAAATTTAGTAAAAGATAAAATGATATGATTATTTTATTAGTTTTAAAAGTTTGATCTAAAGAGTGTTTTTTTAAACCTCCATAAGTTATGGATATGAAAAGGTTTTATAAAAAAAATTGATTCAAAGTTTTTTATGGAGTTACAAAATTTGGTGTTAATGTTTTAAAGAATTCCATAACTTATTCTTAAGTTATGGAACATGAAAAGTTTCATCATAAAACAAGCATTTAACTCCATAAGTTATGGATTACCAAAAGTTTTATGTTTCCTTGATTTATGAGTTAGTTTAGATTAATGGAAAAAAATTGTGTTTTAGTTGTTTTCAATCCTAATTAATCTAGAGGTAGTTTATAAAATGTGTTTTTGTAACTTGTCCTCAAGTTACATAAAAGGTCACATTTATGAATCTTAAAACTCATAAAAGTGTTGTAGGTTACATAAAAAATAAATAGACTTTTTCATTAAATAATTTTATAACTCCATAACTTGTCCTCAAGTTATGGATGTTTAAGAGTCACTTCTTTAAAAGTGTTATTAAAGAATAAGGAGTTACATAAAAAAATGAAGAGTCTTCATTTTAATGTATATTAAACTCAAAAGTTATGACATGAAAAGTCTTGAAATAGTTTCAAAACTTGCCCTCAAGTTTTGGAATTTGTAAAGTCTTACACACTAATACTTTAATTCCAAATTAAACCTTAGAATTTTAAAAGTTTAAAATTCAACCTTTATACTATTATTATAATTTTAATTATATAGATATGTATAAGATAAAGTCAATCTTACCATTAGTAGGCCTCATTCACAAAGTCGGTCTATAAGGGGGGTATAAGGTTACTGCCTATAAAATAGTGGTCTAATGGGTGTCCACTCTCACCCGCCGCTTCCTTGACTGGTGGAGGGTCGTTAGCCGAACGGGTAGGAAATGACTATCATTCTCCCTTCATTAAAAGTATAATGATAAATACTAAGTAAATAAACACTTATAAATTCTCAATCTTAGTTACTTAGGAAAATGTGAAATAGGTGCTAACCCATGAAATTACACTTTGAACCTTACCAAGTCATTAATAGAGCGTGTGTGGCTAACCAACGTACTAACAAGGACTAGTAAGAGTGGAAAAGGGTAACTTGGCTTTATTATAGATCGGTGGAGCTGCGTGGTTAACCGGCACATCGATTAGGTGATAAAGTTAAGGGTACCAAGTCAATTTTCATGGTTATTCACACCTTGTTTGTGATCCTCGGCATCCCAGTCACAAACTTGAGAAGGCACAATCAAGATTCAAACATGCCATTGAAAGTTCAATGTATCTCAAAAGATCTAGGAGTTTCAAATCCAATTAAAACTTAATTATATTTCGTTTTTCATGGTGGAAATTGGTAAATCATCATTTACCTACCTTTAACTATTTTATAACTTGGATTACGGCATCTCTCTTTTAGTTATAAATAGGTTGTTGGGTCCTAGCCTTAATACTTCATATTGGGTGTTATATTAAGGACTTTAAATCAAATAACTTGAATTTCTCCCTTATAGATGTCTAGTTTAGACAACTATGGTCTCCCCAAATCTTTAGGAACAAACTTCCTAATGAAGACGATATCCCAAAAGGCAATCAAGGTGAAAGACTAATCCCTTTATTGAGCAATAATGGGACTAGAAATCATACTTCATTTCCTCCACCTCCTTCAATAATTCTCCCTATCCCACAAGTTTCAAGACTTGAATAGTTCTAAGTCACTCAATCCCTATTGGCAATAAAAGTCTATATGTGCTTACATCTTAGAGGTTAAGCCACATATTGAGAAGCCGGTAGAGTCGGGTGTCAAAGTCTTGAGGAAAGTTGTCTATTGACTGGGTTCTTTAGTCATCTCCTGATAACAGACTACGACATGACCCTTAATGATCTTACATATTTGCTGATGATGCTGAATCAGTAATGAATTGGAGCATTGGTAAAGCAAATTAGATTGGAAGATCTACTTCCCAAACCTATTTGGACATTGACATTGATGACATTAGAAGTCCAGAAAAACTTTCTCTTCCTAATTGAAAGGGGTCGGCCATGGTCAAGTCGTTTGACCTAATGGTAAAGAGAAAGGCTAAGTTTGCGATAGTCCTATGTACCATTTCCAAAGATTCCATATGTTTCCTTTTGCCAATAAGAGGGGTATTGGTTGCGAAGCTACTGAATTTACCCGAAACCTCGTAAGGTTGGTAAATTCAAAAGTTTGACTCTACTTCAGGTAAAGTCCGTTATCTAACTCTATTAAGTCTCTTTTGGAGATTCTCAATACATGGTGTAACGTAATTACATTTTGATGTTTTTTGAAGAATCAAAGAAGCTTAAAGAAAGGTGTGCTGATTCTGATCGCATGGTTCGATAACCAGAATTTTGAGCCACTGCATAAGAGTTATGAGATATTTCTTAGGAATAGATAACAACAAGTTTTCCATTTGCATTGTAAGGATAAGTTTTTTCGCAAAGTATTAAAATAAAAGAAAAATGGTTTTGATTTTATTTATTTTTAAAGTATCCTTACAATGGCGTTTGTAAAAAAAAAATAATAAAATTGTTGTTGTTTATATGTTTCCATTGATAAGCAATATTGGTAAATGGATTTGATTCTTTCATTTGTGGTAGTGTCATAATTTATCAAATAAGGAAAGATTCTCATCACCCAAGTTTCAGTTGGATAGAAAATTGGAATCATGCAAGTTGTATTGTGTGATGATTGAGAATTTTCATCTTTGGTAAATTAAGACTAATTCCTTGTTCACATTTGCATGTCAGTTAACCGAAGGACTAAAGGGTCGGGCACATTAGGTTGTGCACTAGTCAGGTCCACCACAAAGGTTGATAAGATTATTCGTTATAAGTTACTAAAGTTTAGTAAATATGGTTATGCTTACAAGTTTAAGTGTAATTCTGAAACATTGGAAAAGTTTCAATGTATGGCAAAATGAATAAGAAGAATCAAAAAAGGCAGAAAGATAAAAGTTTCTCCAATCTGAAGAGATGGGAGAGTAATTGTGTATCTTGTTATATGATTATCTTAGTGATTATGGAACCATATCACAATTGATCCTCTAAGGACACCTTAGTGCATTTGTTTGCCTAAGGAGAGGAACCGTGAATTGTTGAAATGGTTAAATGAAAAGATAAATCATACTTCGTTCCAAAAACAAATCCTGGAGTTATACTCCAAGATTGTAACTTGAGTGACATAGTGTTTAGAAACTTTTTTAACACTTGTCAAATGTAGAGTAAATTGTTTCTTATTCTTGTACATTTGAGATTGGTAAGTTGTGATGTTTTGGATAATACAAAGACCAACTAAGACCAATTGTGAGAAGTGTTTAACTTGATAAGAATCCACACTAACTCTTGAATATTTGTTTTATCAAGGAATGGTTCTTGAAAAAGAGAAATTTATATGTTAAGAGGACAGTGGGAGTCTTAAAAGAACTTGAGACAGTTTCAAGAACTAATCAATAGTATTGTTAATCACTTGCCCACAACTTGGGGTTTGTAACCTATCGTGTTGATGCATTCTTATTTCTGTGACCATTCCAGTTAAAGTTGTCCATGCATGTGAGTTCTAAGAGTTCTCAGTTGTTTGCATAACAACCTGGAAGCAATGGTAGGCCCTTGTGCTGCCAGATGGCAAGAAATTAAGATTGAACAAGTTCAGTCCATATGAGTTTAGATTTGTCACTAATCTTGTCTTGTGATTAAAGTTATGACAAATTCACGTGGATAGGAACACTTACACCATAAAGTCTAAGTTTCATAAAGTTTCTCTTCGATTCATGAAAATGATGGTAAGGAAACTCTTTCATTAAGTAGATTTTGAGTAGATAGAAATTGTGAGAATGACAAAAGGTCTAAACATTATGATTACGGAATCCCTCTTCATAATTGTTTAGACACACATGTGAGCTATCTAAGGAAAGGTGTATGTTTTTGATAAAGTCTTATCAAAGCATCTCGTATTAGAAATCTGAACTTTGGTAAGAAAGTCAATAAAGTATTGATTTCTAGAAGTCCAGTAGATTTTTGTGTACATGTCATAGCTAATGGGAGCATAAGTATTATGCTAGTAAGATAATAATCATTATGCTAGTGGGAGCATGATTATTATGTTAAGAATTGCAAGTTAGCAATGTTAATTATAGAAAACAAAAGGTTCAATTCGCTTTGAAAAGTTGTTTTACTATAATTAAGGGAGAAGATTTTATACTTCGTTCCAATTCTACAAGTCTAGATTGAGATTTTAATCAACTTTAGTCAAGGATATATATGAATGTGATGTTGGAATGGTTCAACATAAGAAAATTCTAAATATGTTGCATTCTCAGAATTTGTTTATGACTACGACATCCCTCTTCATAGTTCAAATTTTGAGAACATGGCAAATTAAAATTTTATAGCATGAATCGTATCCCATATGCTTCGGGTATAGGATCGATTACATA